AGAGAGAGAGAGAGAGAGAGAGAGAGAGAGAGAGCGTGAGACCGAACGGCTGAACTGCAGAAGCCCTGTAATCATAAGTGAGGACGCGGCAGTACCTCCTTGTCGAAGTTGGCTTTGGTGAACTCCAGCGAGTTGAGGAGCGCGTTGGTGGCGGCGAGCTTGACGTTGTTGCTGGGCTCCTCCTTCCTCATGCCCTGGATGATGGCCGTCAGGATCTGGTTGGCGTTGTCCTGAAGGTGCTCGGGGTCCTGACAAACCGTTTGCAGGGTAAATCAAACAGATGACATCAAACACACAGCAGGGAGTGAGTGTAGGCCAGTCGAGGTGAGTGGCTTTTTGAGTGGCTCAGTGCGATATGCGGTAATATCACCATATATATATATATATATATAAAATGTTTGTGTATGTGTTACAATGTAACGAGGTCATATTCAGAAACCAATGAAACCAAAACTAAATAGGGCGTTGATACAGGAAGTTAAATAAACAGAAGAGAATATCAAAATACCAGAACATAAACCTGACATTTCTGGGTTTCTCAGTAGCAGAAATCGTCATAGTTGGGTAAACTTCTATAACAGCGAATGGGAGAGTACCACAAATATTTTTTTTGCATTCCCATTGGCTCAAATAGCAAAAAAAAAAAAACTCCATGATCGTGTTTTCATGACTTTCAAAAAAAGGAAATAAATAGAGAGAGCCTGATAACGGCAGTCAAGAGAGAACGAGGCCAAATTTACCGTCAAACACCTTCGCATTAGCATTAACTAGCTGTTTCGTATTTTGATGCAAAGGTAATATAAAAAAGTGTTTTAAATGTACATAAATTTTTTTTTTTAAATGAAAACAGAAAAAACTTTGATGCTGAAGACCGTTGAAACGCGTCACCAGTGTCTTGTGAAAAGCGTCCATTAATTGTTAGCCTGTGTGTATAAGAGTTAGTGCTGATCCTCGAATCTGACTGGACAAGAGACCTGCGCGCTCTAGACGGGCTGTAGGTCAGTGCAGTTAGATTGTTGCACCACAAGCAAGGGAGCGAGTCTTTAAACCGTTCATTCAACAAGTTCAAAAACGCAGATTCATTCAAAGAGAGACGTAATGAAACACGCTGTTGAAATCATTTTAACTCTATTGAGCCTCAGTATTAATCAGCATGGTACACATTATGTAATCATTACTAACTTATTTAATATTCAGTACACATGCATGGAGTGTAACACGAGAAGGGTGTAATCTTATGAAAAAAGAAAACAGGCAAATATTGCGGCTGCTGCGGTTGGCTCGTCAATAGTGCGGTGATACTGCGGTTATCGCGACAGCCCTAAGTGCGTGCTGGACGGGACTCACGATGTCCTGGCAGATGTATCCGATGGCCTCCAGCGTGGACTCCTTCATGTGCTCTGTGCTGCTGGGGTCCGTCACGTTGGCCACCAGCTGAGGGATGAGCTCGGGCCACTGATTGACAGGGATCTCGGCGCAGGCGATGCCAGCCACACACTGAGAGGCCGAGCTGGGCCGATAGGTCTCTGTTCCCAGAGTCTGCAGCACCTGCACAGACAGAGAGAGCACACCGCACTCATTCACAAAGCACAGATTCAGACACCCCTACTGGAAACCCTTCAGAGATCATCTAATGAGCGCTACAGACTCAGAACAAATGAAGTGCATCGGCTAGAGCCAGGGGTGTGCACAAATAGCTGAATACTCGATCTGTAATTATTACTCGAAAAGTAAAAACACTATTTGATTTTTACTACGTGCTGCTTTGCTGGCCGTAAATGCAGGGAATCCATGATGAATCTTAAGCAGCAAACTAACAGTCAGTTATAACTGAATGCACTGGGTGGCGTTGTGGAGCGAGTTCACAGAATGTCCTAGTCTTCCTTGTGAAGCTTAGAATTACTTTGATCAAACTGATCTTACAAAACTGAATTACTGCTGATCAAATGAATCAGTCAAACTGAGTTCTCATCATATCACCACTACAATGAGAATCAGATGCAATCCAGACAGCAGTGACTGAGGAGAGACAGAGAACAGAGCTGATCCGACAGTGAGATGATCTTCAGACATGTGCTTCCTTTACATTGTCTTGAGGGAGAGTGCTTTAAGAACAGCAAACACAAAGCGCTGGAAGAAACTCTGCTCAGCACACCGTTATCTCTGTGTCTCTGGAACACCTGTGTCGGTGCGTGTTCCTGAGCATGTGGATATTATTGTTTTTCTCAACAGTGCCATGATGTGAGACAAAGATCACCTGGTCCGGTCGCACCAGCCGTTTGTAGGCTCTTAAATTGGAACCACACTAAAGGCTTAGTAACTACTAGCTAGCTGTTAAGTCTGTACTCTATTCAGTTGCACCCTTTGTTGTTAAGGCAGAATGAAGGCAGTACATTATAAGCTCTTTGTAAAGTAATTCTTAATCAAATATGACGTTTACACTCAGTGATCAAACAGCAGCCTTCAAATACTTTTGCCTCACATGACTAACAGTAAAAATAAGTTTCCAGTGAAATACAATACTAGATCATGAAATGGTACAGATATTCCTTATGTATGAACACACACACATATATATATATATATATAAATAAATGACATTAAGAAACTATTTCAATAGGGATCAATAAAAACCTTTAAAAAAAGCAGCATTATTATTTTATGATTTTACTTGATAAGCACAGAGAAGTGTGTTTTTTAGATTGGGTTTGTGTTGATAAGCCACTAAACTCAATGTTCTTACTGTTAAAACGTAAACGAGTGTAAAAGTGAACATATGTCTAAAGGAATTAAATTCAATCAATCTGCTATTTTATTCCAACCGTTACTACTGCTCGGAGACTTCTGTAAATATTGAGTTTATACAAGTTAGAGTTAGGCTTCAGCTAAGTTAAATGGTGCAACGCCAAAATATTTCGTGTGCAAGATGTGACTTAATGCCCCTTTACGTCAAGACTAGGCTGTAACTTACACACAGCCGCTGCGACTGGCCATGTTAATAAAGCCAGTGACATGTTCAAATATAATGTTTAAGGCTCTAATCTGAGCAATTAAAAACAAATGTCTCTGTATTGGCGATACAGGCCTTGATTTCTCAGTGTACTGCCTTTATGTTCATTCCACATTAACATGAGGATTCAATGCACCAACATATCAATGATCAGAATTTCTATGATAGGTGCAATTAATCAGTTACATCACAATCTTCAATAAGCAGTTACATTATATGGAAATATTAGCATTGTTATATTTAACGATTTTAAGATGGCTAATATTCATGATTAAATGTGTTCATTAACTCGCACTGAGTGAAACTACACTTTTAAACTTGCTGAAACCCTGTGTATTTTGTTCTAGAATAGATATAGAGTATAAATCTGTAAGTTAAGATCTTAAAAACCCTTGCCTTTGATTTCTGAACTGTGCAGCAACCCTGCTGCTGGTCTGAGGTCACGGTTAGCGTGCAGGTCTCTGCACCTGAATTACCTACCAGATGAACCTGCCGTTCACAACGCCACACACAGACATGCAGCAAACACACGGACAGAAGGGTGTGCTCACGTAGTTTTTGATCTCCCGGCGGGCGCTGGTGTCGAATATATATATATATATATAAATAAATGACATTAAGAAACTATTTCAATAGGGATCAATAAAAACCTTTAAAAAAAGCAGCATTATTATTTTATGATTTTACTTGATAAGCACAGAGAAGTGTGTTTTTTAGATTGGGTTTGTGTTGATAAGCCACTAAACTCAATGTTCTTACTGTTAAAACGTAAACGAGTGTAAAAGTGAACATATGTCTAAAGGAATTAAATTCAATCAATCTGCTATTTTATTCCAACCGTTACTACTGCTCGGAGACTTCTGTAAATATTGAGTTTATACAAGTTAGAGTTAGGCTTCAGCTAAGTTAAATGGTGCAACGCCAAAATATTTCGTGTGCAAGATGTGACTTAATGCCCCTTTACGTCAAGACTAGGCTGTAACTTACACACAGCCGCTGCGACTGGCCATGTTAATAAAGCCAGTGACATGTTCAAATATAATGTTTAAGGCTCTAATCTGAGCAATTAAAAACAAATGTCTCTGTATTGGCGATACAGGCCTTGATTTCTCAGTGTACTGCCTTTATGTTCATTCCACATTAACATGAGGATTCAATGCACCAACATATCAATGATCAGAATTTCTATGATAGGTGCAATTAATCAGTTACATCACAATCTTCAATAAGCAGTTACATTATATGGAAATATTAGCATTGTTATATTTAACGATTTTAAGATGGCTAATATTCATGATTAAATGTGTTCATTAACTCGCACTGAGTGAAACTACACTTTTAAACTTGCTGAAACCCTGTGTATTTTGTTCTAGAATAGATATAGAGTATAAATCTGTAAGTTAAGATCTTAAAAACCCTTGCCTTTGATTTCTGAACTGTGCAGCAACCCTGCTGCTGGTCTGAGGTCACGGTTAGCGTGCAGGTCTCTGCACCTGAATTACCTACCAGATGAACCTGCCGTTCACAACGCCACACACAGACATGCAGCAAACACACGGACAGAAGGGTGTGCTCACGTAGTTTTTGATCTCCCGGCGGGCGCTGGTGTCGATGGCCAGCCATCTCTGCTGGTGCTGCGTCTTCACATCCGGGTCCTTCGAGGTCAGGGAGTTCTTGACCTGTAGCCCGGCGGCGACTCGTGCCACCTGCGTGTTCCCGGGGTTAGCCAACACCTTGGACAGCTCCACCAGGAAGGTCGGCTGAAACGAACCAAGACGGGGGATTTAAATGAGCCTGTTGTGATAACTGGACATACAGATCTGGAAACATCAGATGATGTTCCTCTCTAACTTCACCTCCGCAAAACTACAAATAGGTGCAGCATGCAAAAAGGGTGAAAGCGCTTGGCTAGCATTCAGATGTGCCACTCCTTGAGCTCTCATGCAGCTCGCTGGAAAGGACCGGGAGGCTGGTGCAGTTCTGGACCAATGCGTCCCAATCTACAACAAGCCCCACCGGCCCACAGACAGGAGCTGGCTCCTCATCTACACTGACTAGACAGCGGAGTTTGAGTTTGGACAGTCAGGGTAAGAGGGAGAAAGTGAAAGGCCACAGTTACTGCGAAATTAAGAGCAGACATGTGCAGACTGAGGAGTGGTTTCATCACCAGGTTCTCGATGGCCGCCTGCTCCAGAAACTTCTGCGCCGCCTCCAGCTCATTCCGATCTGAAAATCAATCACAGCCATGAATGAACACTTCTGAGCGAGAGCAAACGACACGGCCTTCCTCTCCCGCCAAACGCGGCTCCACGCGACTCCCGCGCTCGCGTCTCACATGCGTCAGCGAGCCGAAGACTTCCTGAACACTGCAATCAGCCGCAAACTCCGAAACTTTGCGAAGCACACAGCACAGGATGACTGCGTGCTAGCCATGCTAACACCCAGCCACTTCCTGACTAGCATGCTAACCTGCTAATAAGTTTACAGCGACTCTAGCCGCGCGCGCGACCAAGCAAACCACCGGAGATCATGTACGGAAGCAGGACCGAGAGCTTTCTGTCATCCTGATCACGTTATCCGAGACTCGTCGCCGCACAGGCCGGCACACGCGACGCATGCTCGCGCGACACTCTGAAGGCTGGTGTAGACAGTGTGAAGAATTAAAACGCATCGCAGCGTGTCTGTGCAGCCGTTCACACCACATGTGAGACGCGTCGCGGGGCCTTCGCTGCGCTAGCCGCCCGCCGCCCGCTCAGTGTCGATCACAGCGAGAGAAGCGGCATGAGGCTCCGTGTGAGGCGCGCGTAACGTTACCTGGAGACACGGTTTTCTCGAGGATTGTGATCAGCTCCATCCTGACGCGCTAACGCGACGAGATCCGCGGTGACAGGAGACAGGAACGAGTGGATCGGTCGTGTAGACTCAGAATCGCGTCCACGCCTAACACCGAAGTCGAGCAGTTCTCGCGGTTAGCCGCTGTCGCGAGGAAAAGGCCGCGCGGAACTCCCGCCCGTGGAACGAGATCACGCGCTGACGTCAGAGCCCCGCCCACCCGTGGCGTCATGACGCACGCGGCTTCTGAGCGTCACCGACAGACTCCGCCCCTGCTCGATACAGCTGTAATTATTGAAGAATCATCTTCATCATCCATACTACCTGCATCCATCCTCTCCAGTCTCAGCACAGTTGATGCTAACCCGCCAAACCAGAAGCTGCTCCCTACAGCTGTAGTTATTGATGTAGAGATCATTTATCTGATTATCTCCACCCAATCACACCACGTAACAGCCGAACACAGATGTGTTGCATATTCAGTTGACTTCCATTTCTTTTTCTTTTTTGTTTTCTTCCCAACCCCCTCCTTTCCTTTTTATTTATTTAGTTTGTTTGTTGAGAAAGCCTTAGCCAGCTCAGTTACTTCACTATCTTTGAGGTTAATGACCGTGGGTCATTATATTTCCGGGGCCCGGGGCCCGGGGCCAGCCTGAAGGATGCTCGGCACAGATGACAGCGTTGTCTCGATCGGGCCAGTGATAAATCCATAAAGTGTAGCATTTTAAGCCTTGCCGATTTAAACATTCAAGCGATTTAAACAAATGCAAGCGCAAGAACTGTTTTCTGTGTCTCAGATAACACAGCACTGAGCTCCCTTTCGCCCTACAATCTTAGTGAGTACCGTCGAAAACAGCAGGTCATGTCTTCAGTGAACGTAAAGAGTCTGATGTGCATCATTACACTGCATCCATCACTTACCAGCTGCTGTCCTGAATGCTAATCCAAGAAAATAAAAATACACTTTTTAGATATAACAAGGATTCATCTATAATTCATTTATACACTGACGATTATGCAGTGTTATTTTACATTTGATTATTCAATTATTCAAAATACTTGAACACCTACAAACCTAAAATACTTAAAGCAGTGTTTAATTTGTATCTTTGTTCTATTTCTTTATTTGTGCTGATGCTTGCAATTTGTTTATTAGTACTTATTTTATTGCCTCTTCACTTGTCTTTAATAATGATTATATTTGTTTGGTTATATGTATTATATAAGCCCCCAGCACACAAGAGACAACACTTTTAGGCCACGCAGTCATCCCTGCCTGGGCCCTGTCTTTTTCCAAGAGCTTCACTGAACAATATAAACTTATATTAAAATAACTGGCCTGGTACAAAACGCTTCGTTTCTTGATCAGACAACAGACAAGCATCACAACGTAAGGTAAGGGCTTTTCAGTGAGTTTAAGATTTTCTATCAAATTACAGAGAATTAAGGCATTCTTTTTCTTCATTAAATTGAATGATAAGAAGTAATGACATAGTTCCTTGTAAAATATGAAAACAATTGGTAAAGGTTATGCAAAAAGAATTTCCATAGAATAATAATTGTTAATTGCTAATATGCGTTTCATCTTTCAAAAATAAACCAAACATTAAAACAGGTAAATCTTCAAATGTTGTAAAGAACCAGTAATGCAAAGGTCAGATAGATGCGCGGATGATAGGTGATGTGCTTGTGGTTACTGTACAAGCGGTGCACTTTCATAACAGAGAGAGAGAGAGAACAGTCACCTGCATCTCACAACGAGACATGTTTGGACGGAATACAGCTTGAAGTCTGCTGTTACTCTGACAATGTCCCAAATGACAGCGTAAGGGACCGTTCACACAGAACGCATTTAAAAACACCAGATGCAGGAAGTGGGATGGAGAAAATAACACGGACATGTTTCTTTTAAAGTTGAACTTTTATCTGCACACATGTGCCTGTTTTTCTCCAGAACCGTTGCACCTGTGTGATGCCGAGGTTTAGTGGTGCTTTGACCGTCAGGAGCTCGTCTCAATGCGGCTTCAGAAGTGCACATAGTGACCACAGAGACAGCACTGCTTAGCACCCTTCTGAAACAAACGGGACACCCTACGGTCTTCTGGACTCCACTGCCATTTGGGACAGAGCCTATGAATTATTAGCAGCGCACTTGAGCTCTGGGATCACCTTACTCCCTGCTCCTGGATCACTGAGAGTCAGACAAGAACCGACTGAGTGGTTTGACTCTGGATCATTCACATGCTGCAATCAGATCAGTCCAAATCACCAATGAGTCATTCTCTCTCTCACACACACACACTCACTCACACTCTCTCACTCACACACACAACACACACGCTCTCTCACACAGACACACACACACACATATAATAAACATTCCATAGTTCAATTCAAAACCGATACACTGACTGTTCAAATGTTTGTACACTAGCCCAGACACCAGCTTGCTTTGACTAAAACCATCTGCAATGAAGGCACTGTGAAACGGCAGTGCTCTTGCAGATTTCAGCACCGTTTATTCTTTTATTCATCTGAAATCTGAAAGGCAGCATCCAGTGGCCCATCCAAACCCAGTGCTGAGGTCCTCTGATGGGTTTCTGAAAGCAGCTGATGATATCCCACAATCCTGTGCGTGCTATCTTCTGGCAGCTGAGCTGAAGGACAAAAACAGTTGTAGATTATGCGACTATCTCAAAGGGTTCGGGGGGTGTGTAATGTCACGGTCCCCTCTTTCTGCCATCACACCCCGAGCTGCTCTTACAGCAGTAAAAGACAATCTGAAACTTTCCAGAAAATGGCCCAGATATCAAAGGCTTTGTTCACACGGCAGAGGATCTTTTCTGTGTAGCCTGCAGTGGCTTGTGCTAGCATAGTCCCAGTTAAACTGACGTGAGTTGGATAAGCAATAAGCAATCATTTTTCTTCCAGTGTAAACCCAGCTTACAGCTGATGAGCGTGTCTGATTCTTCCCGTTTCATCTGGTTCAGTGCAAGTGTGCTGACGCAGAGGCACATCATCGTCCAGGTCAGATAAAACACTTTTATTGTTGCTGTTTCTTTAAAGACAATCTGCTGTTGTAGTTTACACTAATCTTAAAATGTAGGCATTCAAGTCAATATTTTATTTAACATAATTCATATTGCAGTCATCATGAACAACTGGGATTTTTTAATATACACAACAAAATTGTAACATTGTACGCAACCCTTCCTAACCCTACGACGATCCTCCTCAGGAAAATCCCATCCCACCCATCCCACCCAGGAAAACTAGAGCAAAACATCGCAGGTCTCCCAAGCTCACAACAGCCCAGTTAGCAGACGGATCCTGCCGATCTCGTGTTAACCGGCCTCAAGCTTCAACGGGGTATCAATTTGGCAGCACTGGTAGAATGAGATGCTATACACTTCTCTTTCTGCAAACGTAAAAATGAGTGACTACTTAACAGAGTTGAATGCGTGTGACTGGAGGCAGGTTCACCGTTGCCGAAGCCCAAACGAATTCAGTCCTCAAGCCTTTGAAATGGAAAACAAGTGTACTGATCTGAAAGTGTCTCTGTCATACGGGTCTGCCCACCTCCGCCGCCTCTTTGTTCAGGGGGTCTTCAGGGTTGGGCTCCTGCAGCAGGGACACAGAACAAGACAAAGGGCCGTGATTCACAGTCATTGGTGACCTGTGAGACTCACAAAGCTGAACTTACCAGGAACAGATACTGCAGTCCGTATATGATGGAGTTAATCGTCAGCACTGGCTTCCAGTCTTCTCTGAAATATAACACATAATGCAATGAGAACGAGCGCGCTCAGGTTAGCTGGTATACGATGATGGACGTGGGAATAACTGTAAGAGCGCATGCAATACCTCAGAATATTTAGACAGACGTTGCCTTCGAGGTCAATGTTGGGGTGATAGACCATCGTTTCACATTTTACTTTCGGAGGGTCGTGAGGGTATCCCTGTCCTACCTGAAAACCAAAACAACACCTGACCTGTAGTCACTGTTCAATGATCGTCTCACTAGCTTTTCAAGAAGAGATCAGTGTCGTACTCTAAAGCAAATATAATGCCATAAAAACACGGAGGTGACCAAACGTGTCAGATTTCAAATCTGTAAATGACAAGTCAAGAAATAAAGAAACAGATGATCAAGTTATTCTGGCATTACAGATTGACATTTCAATGGGTCATGACACGAGGAGTCAAACTGTTGATTATATTTAAAAGGTCTTTAACATTCATGACAGGAAAAGTCCTGTGCATCTTTAGCATCCTTCTTGTTTTAAGCCTGTTGTACAAAGACGTACAACTCCACAGCGATCTCTCTGTTTGATCATTCATGGCTGAAAGTGTTTTCAGAGTCAGACTGGTGCTGAATCTGGTGACACTGACAGTAGGTGAAGACAAACCTGCACACTCTTCATGTTTACATCACGATGCTTATTAGATCAACTCTTCGTTCTTCTCATCTAATATATAATATTAAATCATCGTAACTCTTGCTTCAGAACCGGGACACGTGTGAAAACATGGTCAAATGATGAAATTAAATCCCTTTCTGCCGTGCTCTGTACGTCCTGGCTTTTATTTGTGTGCACATTTGAAGGCCTAAACACAAACCTAGCTGGAAATGAGTAAGCACTGCATTAGTAATGGACTCTACTAGAGCAGGCAGCAGCCTGGTGTCAGTGTCTGACCTGTCGTGGGTCTACAGGCCAGTGTTCACGCTGCTCGAGGTGCGGTTTACCTTAAAACTGAAGACAAATTTCCCACCTTTATAGAAACCCTGCAAAAGAACAACACAGAAATTATAAACGCTTGCGCGATGTATCGTGAGTGAGACAGCATTCGAATCACATTTGCATGATTCTGCAGCTGCGTGTCACAGTTCCACAAGCTGACAAACACTACACTTCATCATGAGAATCCATCGATCACACAAGAGCAGACCTCGTCTGGGGAGATGATGAGCTTGAAGCTGAGCAGGTCGTCCTGGTCGGGGAACACCATCTCACACGTCTTTGGCAGGTTCAGCTCATTGATGTCTGTCACAGAAAAACAACACCTGCATTACACACTGACAAACCACTCACTATGAATTCTGAAGGGCTCCAGCCTGGTCTTTCGTTCAGTCTTGGTGGACGGAGGCATTATTGCTCACGTCATCAGTGTGGGAGATTGGCTAAGACCTTTTTATAGTTTTCATCTGCAGAAGTGCAATCACTCTCAGTCATTCGCAGTCTTTGTCTTTTGATCATCACACCAGGCCATATTGTTGATTTAGTTTTATTTCGATTCATCATTCGTTTGCATGACGGTCTTTGTGTTCAAATGCAACTCTTTGGGGAGACGCAGGTGACCTAACACAGGCTTTCCTCGCCGTTAGCTCTACACTTTCATTCATCTACAAAACACAGATGAAGACATTGTAACGCCTTTACAGGACGGGTCTTAATGTCTTTAAATGAATGGACTTTTTAAGGTCTTGACATCTGGCAACCGCAGCCGTCAATGCTTGTGGAGGCTCATTACTAATGCAATAATGCAAATACCTACTTAAAATGAACCGTTTTCAGGATAAATAACGCCCCACAGGCAAATATCAGGACGATGATAATACGTGCAGCCGTATCCGAACTGAACCCAGCTGAATGATGACACCATTGGGCTTTCCATAACTTTCATAAATATATAGTCAATTCAGAGTCTAATTGACTTCTAAACTAAGCCATGCAGTCCTTGACCTCGGCGGCGCTCACACTGTAGAGTCTGAGGGTCAATCCCACGAGTTTAGCCCCAGTGTCTGAAGGGCTTCTGAGCTCCTGAAACTCTGTCCCTCCAGTCAGTTCTCCACACGAATAATCCAAGTCTTCTGAAGAGACACGATCGCTTCATACCAACAGATTTAGGCTTATTCACTAATAAACTGATGGATGCTCATTGACAGGATTGGTTCTCGCACGACTGAACTTCTGTTGAGCATGCACGATGAGCTCAATGTTTATGTGTGAATAAAAGCCTAAATGAAACCTGTCGATCATTTAAAGCACTCGTGTGTCTTCAGAAAACCACCCTCTTCATATGGATGCATTTCAGAAAGACTTTAACCTGTCGCTTTTGAGGCATCGAAGCTTTGGTGGAGTGAACTTTGAATGGAGGGACAGAAAAGCGCGAGTAAAAGATGAGAGAAGGGTCATTTGGCTCAACCATCCCTCGAAAGAAAGGAAAAAATGAAATCGCATCATATGACCCCTTTAATCGTTTGAGTGGTTTATGACGGCGATGTGTTTAATCACGAGTGTCTCCAGGTTTACTGCAGTCACCTCCTGATTTCTGTGACAGCCTGAACTGTCCCGCAGGATCAGAGAGATGATGTGAAAGCAGCAGATAGATGGGTTTACGGTCAGACAGGCCGAGGCTTCTGCATCTGTGCGGCTCGTGATGAGGCTAACGCTCGCTAACGGAGCAGGCCTCAATGTTGTGACTGAGAGGGAGTTTGCTCTGGCGGAGAACGAGTGTTTCTGCCGTGCTGTGTGACTTTAGACATGAGCTTCACTCTCTGTGGCGCCTCTGAAGTGTCCAAACACCGAGTAAATATCAATAAAACAGCGCAGACCGACTGGAGAGTGCGCTACATGTTAGCGCGGAGGCTAACGCTAATGTCGCTCGGCAGCGTGAGGAAACCTGTCTTTAAACGAGCCGGACTGAACCGGAGCCGAATCTGAGCTGAATCTCTCTCTATCTCCGTGTGTGTGTGTGTGTGTGTGTGTGTGATAAGTCCCCTTCTGTATCCGCAGCGGGGCCGCGCTCGCCTTCTTTCCGCCGGCTCCAGCTCTCGTTCCTCCGGCAGACTCCTCGTCCTTCTTCTGCTGCTTCAGCGAGAAAAGCTTGATCATCTTCACTCAGTTCTGTGCTGAGAACCAGCCGAAGCCAATCTAGCCCTGATCTGACGCCGCTGATGAGTGTTTATCAGGTAGCTGAGCGGATGCGCGATGTGTTTTACAGCAGCAGCAGAGGGAGCCTGTGTGTGTGTGTGTGTGTGTGTGTGTGTGTGTGTGTTAGCTGCTAATGCTAGCCGCACAGTCACACATCTGACTCTCTTCACACTCAAACTCCATTCTAGCAGCTGCTTCCAGACCAGCTCAAACCAGCCGAGACGGGCGAACCACTTTAGCCTGGCTTTTATTATTATTTTTATTATTATTATCATTGTTGTGTTATGTATGGATTTAAAAACACTATTATTATTATTTATTCATTTTTTTTTTACTGATATGACATCTGAAGCATTGTGCTGTAAAAAAAAAAAATCAGCAATATAAATAACAGGAATGTTTTGGGTAGGGCACTAATAGACCACATTTCCCATGATGCCTTTCGGTTGTGACGAACAGACCTGGAGGAGCGTTCGTGTTGTGTTTTGTTTTTTTTACTCTCCATATTTTTTTTATTTACCATAGTTATTTATTTATTTGATTTTGTGGAGCAGGAGCAGAGTGTGATGGCGTCAGGATGCTGAGCGAGCTGGTCTGGACTCACTGGGACAGTAGGAGACAGATTTAATATCCATTCACGCACAGCAGGAGCACAATAGGAAAGAGCGAACAAAAGGCACGTTTATCCGTTTACGCTGTTCTCTCTTTCAGTTCAGCGGACCGTGTGGGAATCATAAGCGCTGGATACTGGCCTCAGGACCACAGATGAGGATCTTCTGGACGCGTGGAGCATCAGGAGAGCTCGTGTGATCGTTATATTTGAGGAGCAGATCTCGATCAGACGCGCTGTGGATGTGATCATGGATGCTGGTGTCGGTGATTGGTGTTTAAACGAGTCACTCATGTAAACCTGTGAGAACAGCAGGAAAGCCGAGCGGAGAAACAAGGAAGCGCTCTCTCTCATTGTGTCCATCTATCGCAAGAAAACATCAATCTAATGCTCGATCAAGGAGTATGCGACTCCACGCGAGCAGGTGAGTCGTGTGTCTGTGACTGTGTGCGCTAAGCTTCGCCAGATCAGGGTGGTTCGTGAAGCCCTGCTAAGTGCTGCTAACCCTGCTAGCCCATGCTAGCTGCTGCTCCGCTGCTTCCGGCGGCTCTGCGGCGCTTCCGCTGCTTCATCGCTGCGCGTTGGGCTCCGGTTCAGATGCAGACAGTCTGGGCTGCTTTTCTGTGAAGGCACGAGTTTCTGTGGAGCTGAGGCGACTAACTGCTGCTGGTTAGCTGTAGATACACAACACATGTAAACATGGTAAAGCCCCGCAGGCTTGCTCGGTCTTCTCTGAAGCCCTTTCTCACTCGATCCTGCTGTAGTTTTTTGTAGATTTTAGGCCCACGTCTGACCTGACACTGTGTGTGGGGGTGTAACCCTTCAGGCAATAACATGGCAAACCACCAAAACACTGCAGCTATTACCGTTTCTGGATGTCCCTTAAAAGCACCATGAGTAGTAACTGGTGTTACCACAGTACTTGTGTGCAGAAACAGTGGTGTTTTGTGTCAGTGATGGTGAATTCAGAGGAATTGAGCTCAGTGAAGGCCAGCTGGTGTTGTTATTATTAGCACTCAATAATGATGTGAAACGCTGATGGTTTACGTGTCAAAAGCATATAAAGTGAGTAAACTAGTCTTCATCAGCTCACCTTTATACATAAACCATGAGAAAGCATAAAAACCTTCATTTGGCCCTTCATTCAAGTGCTGGGTTGACGGTGTTCAGTCCGAGTTGAAGCGTTTGCTCCGTTCAGTGTCTGTGGAGGAACTGGAGCTGAATCGGTTCATTCATCACCAGATCAGATACGCCTCTGTTTCCGCTCATTTCCAGTCTCCGGCATCCCAAAGTGAGTTCTGATTGAGTAACTTGTAGTTTCTTGCACAGACCGATCGTTTCGCTTCATAAGACCTCTATATTAGCATCAGGAGCCACGGGCATTAATGTTGTGTTCCTCCATATGCTTTTTTTATTCTCAAAGTGCCGGTAGCTGCTGACTCACATTTACTGAATCACCAAGGATCACGGTTTCAGCTAAAAATCTTCTTTACTCTTCTACTGAAGAAGAAAACCGTCTCCTATATCTTGGACGGCCTGTGGGCGAGTAAATTAACAGCACATTTTCATTTTAGTGTGAACTGTCCCTTTAAGAATCTGAGCATTCAGTGTGTGATGTCAACTGTTAGAACGAACCCAACTTTCAGGACATGAGGGCAAAAACACCCCACATGAGCTTTTAGCGTATACTCATGTCATATGATATAGTTAAGGTCGCTATGTAATCAAAGTTGTAAAATGTATCGATTTATCCACACGCAGCATTATATATTTTTTAATTCATGTGTCACATCACAGCGAAGAGCCAGTTCTGACATTTTTATTAAGGATTGCAGGGTTGAAAATACTTGCGCATGAATCATTGACAGTGAGACGGGTCACGTACATGAGGAAAGCAGCTAGGGCTCATGTTAATGTCATGATCAGTGATCAGCGCTGAACTCTCCCTTCAGAAGGACTCGGATCTTTCACATGCTCTGGCTGAGAAACCCGTCTGGACGGACTCAGACTGTTAGCAGTATTACTCTTAGACCTAATGCGCTCGTCTTGCACTGTTTATTCACAGCTCTTTCGCTCTCATTGCTCTGTGTTCTGGGCTGATCCTCAAGAGGTGGCCAGATCGTGTTTGTGTTTTTCGTGCAGACCGAGAGCTCTGCTGTGATTACTGTGAGCGCTGACAGAGATGATCACTCTCTACAGCTCTATCAGGGTTTCAGGCACACGAGCAGAAAGCTACGTCTTTGCACTTTATTTTCCCCTAAATAGCACATACCAGCACTTTAAAAGCACATATTAGTAAGCTTTCTGAGATTTTTCTGTATGGAATACAGCAATATCACAACAATTAAGTATAAATTTCTTCTGGAAAGTAGCATTCATCCGGTTCAGTTATCTGGCAGTCTTCGATACAAGTGTGCTTGTGAGAGAGAAGACTCCCTCACACGCACGCACGCACGCACACACACACACACACACAC